GGGGGGGGGCCCCCCCCCCCCCCCCCCCCCCCCCCCCCCCCCCGACGTTATGCCACTGCTTCAATCATGCTCTACATCTTCAGCAATGTGACATTGGGCATTTATGTCTTCTTCAACAGCGTCCGAACAATTTTTCACGATAGTTTGGATTCCACAGGTTGAGAAGGTTGTACCCTGTTCTTCATGCAACCATGTAGTTGTAGTTCAAGAGAAGAGAACCATGTAGTTCAAGAGCCATGCATGTGGTGATGGAAGACATCAGGATTTATACTGATTTCCGTTATTGTCTATCAATAATTCATCTTAGTCCACATTTGACTGGCATAAATGATGACACATTTTATGATTTTTTTTTCTCCAAAAGTGTACTGCTTATGTCTAAAATCGGTCAACTCTTCTAGGTAGTATCTGTTTTTTTCCTGGTCTTGTTTTAAATCTTGTTCTTCAAAGGAGACATAAGATTAAAACACTCCTCTTATTGGATGAAATGGTTCTTTAAATATAAGCAAAATAATCACGCCCATTTCCTCAATCCATTATGTTACGTGTCTTAAAATTTGAAAATTCATAATTTGTGCTTCAAATACTTTATAGAATCTTTATTGCATTTCAAACACATTCCTTAGGTATATGTATTTCGTATTTAAATATTCTATCCAGTGGCGCAACCAATCCTAAAGTTTGGGGGGTTCGAAGTTCACATGACCTGTCTTTCAAATGTCTCCGAATGCAAGGTGTTATCAAATCATTAGGAGAGATATACAGGGTGTCACAAAAGTTCGTGCGATTTTTTAAAGTTAATTTTTCAAAGAAAAAACATTTTTCCAAAATTTCGCAAGCATACCATACTATAGCATTTTTTTTATTGCACTTTCCACTGAGTACAAAATCTTTTAAGTAATAGTCGCCTTTTGGGTTTTTTAAGACTGAAATCGAAAAGAGAAACCAAAAAGTGTTTGCACGACTCGACGACTGCGCTGGATTCGACCATCAGGAAAGCGATAAAGCGCTACGAGGAGCTCGGTACATCGTCTGATCGCCCTCACAGGGGACGCCCTCACTCTGCTACAGACGCTGCTCATCAAGAAAATGTCCGTTAACTGTCCGAGAGGAATCCACGCCGTTCGCTGAGGAAGGTCGGCCAAGAGGTAGGAATTTCGCTCCGAAACAACCGCTTGCACCGTTCGAGTCTTGTAGCCTTCATCGCCTCAGTCAAAAGTTTCGCCTTTTGCTGCCTGTAAGCCTTGAGTCCAAAGCTGTTCTGGACGATCCTTCGCACCGACTCATGCGAAATTCCCACCTCTTGGCCGTCCTTCCTCAGCGAACGGCGTGGATTCCTCTCGGACCGTTGACTGACATTTTTTCGATGAGCAGCGTCAGTCGCAGAGTGAGGGCGTCCCCTGCGAGGTCCCCTTTTATTTGAATTGTCGTTCCTTCCGTTTTCAGAGAAAAATTCAGTAGCGTCACGTGCAGGACGTTTCCTTGACAGTTTCACTTTACTAAAGTGAGTTGCTACATGCAGCTGGCGTAACCTTCACCTTTCACCTATCTTTGTGCCTTTCCAGCCTCGCTCTCAGGTCGTTTGCTCATGATATCTTTCTGCGTCCCCCACCCTCGGGGGAGAGTGGGGATGGAGAAGTAGAGGGATACCATTATGAGCAGGAGTTTGGGGGGGTTCAGACCCCCTGATCCCCCCCCCCCCCCTGGTTGCGACCCTGATTCTATCTCTTGAAGGAATTCCCGGAAACCCTCGCCTTGGACAGACCAAGAAAAAAAAAGAAGAAAAACACCCCTCTAGGAAATAAAGGGGAAACCTTTGCTTGAGATAGTTGAGCGCCAGAGAGCAGCAGCAAAACACCGGATTGTACATGGCAGCCTTCACTCCTCTAACGCGATGGCGGTCTTTTCTGGTTGATTTAGTTAGTTAAAATAGAATGACCAGCTTGCCGACTATAGAGAGCGTTTCGTTGTACCACTGACTTATTCGAGTTGTGTATCGCTGGTGTATCATCAAAGGCAACTCCCATCCAGGCTTTCGAGATGATTAAAGGAATAGATGATGTCGAGTGTGGTAGGTTTTTCCGGTTTGATGGCAGCAAGAGAACGAGAGGTAACCGACTCGAGTTGCGCAAACCGCAGGTGCGGCTCGGGTCGAGACAGGAATTCTTTACTTGCACAGTGGTGAACGCGTGGAATGCGTTCGATGACGAAGTAGTGGCTGCCCCGCGCTGTGACTGTCTTTAACCCTTTCAAGGGCCAGTTTTTTCACACTTTTCAACACCTTCAGAAAACATGCTCCTTCAGAGTATTTTTGTTCATGTTCTTCATATATGTGATGTAGACACTTTATATATAATATATATAAGCATGCACACAAATTTTCGACTTACCGGTACCGTCAGAAGTGCTTTCGCGTATGGTATGTTTCGAAGCACGGAACAATGCAGAGTGACACTTTGCAAGTTCTGCACTCATATCTTGTTTTTCTCCGCTTTTTCTCTTTCTGGACTCAACGGCGTCCATTTTTACCGGGCACACCATTACAGAACAAGGACAGTCTCAAACGCAAGGTGTATACAGTGCGCATTGGATACCTATACAACCTCATTCGATGGGTTAAATGCCGCAGTAACCTGTTGCTGCACACGCTAAGGTGTGGCAGCACTTCCTGACAGACTCTAGGACAAAAGTAATATATAGGCGACGGCCCGTCAAAGCGCTAAATTTTAAAACCCATATATGGGTCCATGCCCGCGAACAGGTTAAGAAGAAACTGGATGCTTTCATGGACATGTAAAAAGGTGGGGAGCCATGTTGACGTTAAGTAATAGACAGTAAGCAACTCAGATAGTCAAAAATACACACACACAAACAAACAAAAATATAAAAATATTTAGCTTTAAGAGGGTTAGGCCTACCCTAAAATTAAGGAACGCTCGACCTCGACACGTCATATCGAAATGGGTGAAATCGCCTCTCGATATCATTATCTTGAATCTTGAAACGACACAGGGTATGGTATACCTTGCGAATCTGTAGCATTTCCTTAGTGTCACTTTTTACGCTTCTAAGCAGCACAGCGACGCATTTGAATTTCCTTGTCGCATTTCACTTTTTTTTATTACCAAAATTTGACCTCGAAAACCCATAAAGGGCGTATATCCTCAGTAACCATTTGGCAACACTGGGGGTTTTTCCCGTGCCTTGACTGCGCCTGAAGCACGTGGGAATCGGTGGTCTTTGTACGAGTTATTTTGCTTCGGCTAGGCCCTTGACGAGAGACATTTAGTGCGTATGAAGTTGGTGATTTGAAGTGCAGTCCTTATGTCTCGCGAGTCTTGCCAACTCTGTTGACTGAATTCCTTTAATAATTTCAGCTGGGCCTGAATATCATGTGGGTCTTGAGTGATGCAATGAATAGTTGACGATAGCGGGCCTAATTTAGTGCCTGTGCACTCATGGGAACCAGTGCGGAATAAGAGAACAAATGAACAACAACACACACAACATACTCATGTATGTATATATTAATGGAGGAAAGATGCCGAAATTATTTGAAGGAGAACGGACTGAAAAGTATCACCTGTTATCAGGGGAACCCATTATGATGCCAAAGCCAAGTATCCAAGAACTGATGATATTAATAATATGAATGTATGATATGAAAGTATGCAGTGTTCTAGATGATGAATCCAATATGAACGGGGCAAAGCATAGAAGAAATCCAAGTCTGAAGGGGGTTCTCTCAGACTTGAGCTAGTGTTAGATGTCAAGATTATCATTTACCATTTCCCTCCCAGGCTAACTAAAGTAACATATCTAGTGGGGCAGGCATAGGCAGGGTTTTAACTATTCCAGGCTTTCAGAGTGGCTATTAAGTCTATGCATTTTGGTTTTCCTCTCATAGTACTGTCTTCCAAACAAGTCATGTTTGGTACTGAAGTATCGTGGGATGACATTGAAGCTAGACTGTGGACTGGATATCTGCACCATCCTGAATTATCTACCCATTTCCTTAACACGTTGGCGACAATGTGTCCGGATGCCAGGATGCAGATTTTTTTTCAATGAATACCCTCTGGAACTGTTGAGAATGTTCCAGAAGATTATGATTTCATAATTACTGATAAAAATTCCAAAAAATTCAACATTTTAAAAAAACTCAGCAAAAAAAATGTTTTCTGGGACCATGCGCCCTGATGGCAGGACGCATTTTTTTACAAAAAAAATGCGCATGGTCCCACGCGGCGGACAAGCAAAAATAGGCTGGTCATCAACGTGTTAATTCCATCTTCCAGGCTTGCCTCTGCCCACATGGAAGCCTAAATATCAAGTAATCCCTCAGCTTGATGGAGTAAGACATGCTTATGACTAAGCTGAATCATGTCTTGATGATCTAGTTTGACTACCAAATTTTGTGTCATTCACTTCCAGGTTGTCTGTGAATGGTGCAATTGCTTCTTTGATGGGTAACCCGAATTTGGCACACCTCAGGATGGGATCATTGGTGTCTCTGATATTGATGCAGTCCTCATCTCAAATTACCTATATATGCTTGCCCTCCCATTTGTGACAGAGAACCCAGGATTCAGGAGTGCTGTGTATGCTGTAGAACCTACTCTACAGATGGGAAGGTTTGTTTATTCTCTCATTCACAGCCTTGGAATTTATTTATGTCTCCAGGGCTTAAGGCAATTAGAAAATTTTTGCTTGCATCTGTTTTAGTGCACTGTTCATGTGTGACAAACATCCATTTGAAATTTCATAGGTGAGTGTGCTTTTGAAAAGCCCATATTGTATTAGTTCATTCATGTTAGAATTGTACGAAAGTATATTATCGGAAAATTTATGGTAGAACATGCTTTGGTGAATTAATTTTATTCTTGTCATGTCTATTCTTGGATATCCATATAGTCAGTACATCTCAGAAATTTGTTTCCTTCCTGTGATTCACTTTTATCTCATGCCATCTGTCTTAGTGCTTTGTTAGTGTGTGATAAACATTCATTTGATATTTTATTGGTCAGCATGGGTTTGGAATGCCTATATTGAACTACTAGTTTCAATCATTCTATAGATGAAATGAATCATATTATTGGGGAATCTACAGGGTGACTCAAAAGTCTGGACACATAGGTAATATTACTAATATTATGTTTTTTCCCCAGATTGAATATGAGTTTGTTGAAAGAAGAACGTATTGAATTGGTACAGCTGAGTGGACGTGAGGAGTGGTACTTTGCATCGCTAATGATGGGCGCCATGTTGAAAATGTTATTGAAAAAAATTACTACATTTTTGCCTATGTGTCCAGACTTTTGGGTCACCCTGTATGGTAGAACCTATAGTGAAGGATTTATTAAGTTATTGTGTACATTCTTGTATATCTATGTAGTCAGAATATCACTGATGTTTGTCTCCTTGAAGTGATTCACTCGTGTTTATTCTCACCATCTTGGTATATTCCCACGACCAGGTTATTCATGGAGGAGATCCAGGAGTATCTTGAAGGCAGCAATGACAAAGATGGATCATGGAAGGATTTTGTTCATCTCCTCCCACTTCCATTCAATCAGATGGGATTCCAGGTGCATTCCCGAATAAATGCAAATGAAAATAAAATATGTGATGGCAGATTTATACCAATTTAAACTTACTTTCTTTTACCTTAAGCTAGAAACTTATTGTGGGATCCATTCATATCCTTGATCTTCCACACTTGAGTATTTTTATTATTGATATTTGTAGAACCTGACTTCAATCATCGGGAAGCACTGGAATTCTTCCAATCATTGGCATTGAAGTGTATCTGCTGTCTCATTCACATGTCTGGGCTTCAGCCAGGTCAATAAACTTGTGAGGGGCAACCTGATTATTCCTGCTCAGTATATTCAGCCTCCCATGTTGCATACATAACAAGTTGCATAAGGATCCTTGTCAAAACTATAGGGTGGTTGAAAAGTAACTCCCTATTGAAAATTGCTTATAACTTTTGTAAATAGTACTGCATTTGCATGAAACAAAATGTATTGTGATCCTTACAGTGGTAGAATTTAATTGATATCTCTGATTTCATCTCACAATGACGAGAGCAGCCCATAATGGCCCATTGCCTGACACTGTGCGAGCGATCTCAGCTGGCCTCCTGTTACAAAGTGCGGCAGTCCATGGTACAGGTGCAGGGATGGTGGCGGAATGTTCACGGACCTCGTGCTTCAGTGGATGCCAAGACCATCAGGAACTGCCATTCCAAGCTGATGAATACGGGATCTGTGGTAGATACTCGCAAAAGTGGTCGTCCCTCGACATCCAGGTCGGAGGAAAATGTGCAAGTGGTGCAGGATATGTTCATCCGAAGTCCCAAAATGTCAACACGCCAGGCCGCTCGTGAAAATGGCCTAACTCGCCACACGATCCAAACTGTTTTGAAGAAGGTGTTAAATTTTCGTCCTTGGAAGCCGCATTCTTGTCAGGCACTATCGGCGGAAGACTGATCGTCGGATGGAGTATGGGGAGATCATGCTTGCTTGGTTTGCAGACTGGCCCCAGTTGTTTAACAACATTGTTTGGAGTGACGAAGCCGTGTTTCATGTGGGGGGATTTGTGAACCGCCACAGTTGTCACTACTGGGCACGAGAGGATCCTGGGGCCACTGTTGAAAAGATGCAAAATCGCCCTAAGGTCACAGTGTGGTGCAGCTTGACATCCAACCAGGTTGTGGACCCATTCCTTATTCGGGACACTGCAGACAATTTCTACCATTCTACGGTCCACAGTAAAATTTGTTTCCCTACAATCAACCAATAATTAGTAAAGTTATTAGCAATTTTCAATAGAGAGTTATTTTTCAACCACCCTGTACTAAGAGGTGCACATGGATTGATGCAAGACTCTTGCAACTTTAGTGATAAATGATGATTCATCCTTTGGAAAGTGTTACAAGTGTTTGTCACTGCCTATGTGACTGACATGCCTTCTGAAAGGAGGATTTATATGTTAGCTTTTATATAAATATGGGAGTAATAATAATTTTGTATTAACAATGATTTAAATTCCTCCATAGTCTTTTCTATAATCTACTGAAGTAAATCACAAGTGTTTTCTTTTGCCTGTCCAGCCAAGCAGCGGCAGTGTATTGGGTTTCTGACCACTAGAGATGGTGAAGGTGCAGGTTGGGAAAGGGAAGCATGGTTGGGAAGCTGGGGGATTGGACCCTCAGTTGGCGAAAGACCTCAAGATGTGTCAGGTGAAACTTGGCATTCAAGTTGCCACCATATCAGCACTCCTTGATGTCAAGGACAACTGATATTCCAATCAGGTGAGTTTTTGGCTCTTCAAAGTCCCAACCCAAGGGAATGTGAGCAATGCATTCTCCCACTTCCACCTGAGGGCAATCAAGTTCTTTCAGAGATTAGTGGAATACTAACAATTGTTTGTATAGACCTTTTCTTATTGTCAATTTTTTGATGAATTTGAATGGTATGATGTCTGATGAAGTACATGAAGTACTAACCAGTCATGACTTCTACTGGGAGTGGAATGAAACATGATTTTTCATTTTTATCACCTTGTGACTGTAAGGAATCTTATCCATCTTATTCCTATCCTAGCATCACTCTCAGAACTGTTACCCATCTGATTCTTATTGATTCACTCATGTAATGAATCAGTATTCTGTATTGTCTTCTTTGCACAAAAACTAGGGATATGGATTTTTCGGAAATTGAATGAAATGGAAGTGAGCATGAACAAGAAAAGTGTAGGGATTTCATTCTGGATTTTGGGGGCAATATTTTTTTTATCATGCAAGAAGTTAATCTAGACCATGTACAAAATCATATTCTGTCTATTTTTTGTTAGAAATTACCCTGCCCTCTGGCTTAATAAGGAACAGTTGATTAACTCTTCCAGCTTATTGAATGTCACTGTGACATCTGATACTTCAGTAGCAGGGTATGTTCTGCCTTTTATATTACCAGTTTGAAGGCTTAAACATTTGCCCCATTTTTCAGTGACCCTTTCTTTCACAAAGGCAACTTGCAGGGTGTTTTGTATTAGAATATGTATCTGCTCTTTGTGAGTGGGGAAAAATCATTAATAAACATTTGTAAAAATGCTTCTTTCAACCTTAAACCTTTTCCACAGCACAACTGTGAGAAACTAGACACCTGTTTTCTTTTTGGAACACTTCATCAATAGAAAATTATTATAGAGACTTGAGTTATTTTGAAATTTGTGAGAACTCCTCAATCCACTGGAATGGGACCCTCTCCCAAATGGTAACAATTGGCCATGTGATATGTTGTCACACATTTGAAAAGGCAAAAAAATTGTCTATGCCATCACAGCTTACTCTATTAGTTTAACAGGGTAGGTTTATGACTGTGTTACTTGATCACAGTATTTTTGTAACCTTAACATACTTCTCTGCTGATTCAGTGACACTCCCATGCCAGTGTATCAATCATGTCTTTCATTTCATTTTCTACCCTTCAACCATTACAGTGTGCATTTGATTTTGGTTTCCACCAGGCTCTACCACAGAAGCTGGGTGAGGATTTGATGGGTTCCATGGTGGCCGGGATGAACAAGAAGCCAACGTTCTATCCATGGGGTCCCTTGGACATCACATCCCTTGTTCAGAAGCTCACATAGGAAGGCATTGTAAATGCCAATGTCAAAGAGACTGCTCTTGCTGTATAGTCCCCCTGGTCTGTCTCTCCAAATTCTTTTAAATTCTCATTTCCTCTCCAAATCCTTTGCAGTAGTTCTCAAAGAATACTAGTTCTATTAGGCAATGAGGAAAATATTTAAAATCAACTTTGTAAATGATAGGGGATGATGGGATACAGTGGGATGCTGATCATTTAGTTGCCTTAAGGATGAAACCTCATATAAATTTCTGATAGAGCCTTATCATCCCTGACATCTGCATGAGGTTTGGTTACAATTTTGTTACTTGGGTAGAAACAGTCAGTGAAATGCAACATTTCTGTACTTCTATTTTGTTTGCTGATTAGGATAATTGACTCAGACAGGACACAAATTACATGAGTCTCATAATTTTGTTCATGAGCTTTGCTTTGGTCAAATTCTAAGTCATTCATAGGTTTTTGTCAGGTTGCTTGAGTAATCAGAAAAATCAAAGCATGAACATCTGCAGATGCTCATGCTTTAAATGTAGCAATTAAAAGTCTCATCACAACAACCCTGTTGGAACAGTAGTGTGATTATTGATGACTTCCCTAAATGCTGTAATTGCTGCATCACTGCAGATGGACAATGTTTTGAATGCTGACATCATCCTGTTGAATGTGTGTATATTTTGCTTAGGCTTCCTTGTCAGTGACACTGGCAAGCATTTTCCAACCCTCCTGGGTAATTCCAATTTTAGCCGTCCCCCTTTGAAGAAAGTTCCGATGTCTGTCCACAGACCCAAGATGCCAGACCATGATTTCTTTGAAAAGGTAAATTCCAAGTAGTGAAGCTAGGGATAGGATTGGGTTGTCTACCTATCCTCGACCCCTTGCCGATTTCCTGCCTGTGCCACTGCATATATCTCACATTCTGCTTTGGCTAGCAGAATGGCTGCAAATGTTTCAAATCTCACAGCTCTGACTCTTGTACTACTCATTTAATAACCTTCAGAATATGTGACTGGAATTCTTGAACACCCTGTAGAGAATTCCACTAGAGACAGTTGAAATAATTTGTCTTCTCTCCTCTTATGAACCTAAAGGTGTCCAGTTTGAATTGAGTCCACTCATGGGAGTTCAAATTCATACAATATTTTGATATTCTTACTTCATTGATTAATGTGCCTCTGTAGGCCTGCAAGATTGTACTTGAGATTTTTTAGCTTGTGATCACGAGTTTTCCCATTGTTTTTTATTTATTATTATGTTACTCAGTTACTCATAAAGCCCAGTGATTCACCAGCTTCCATTTGCATAATTCAGTCATTTACATATGATCAGTAGAAGTTAGGAGGTGGCTCCTTGTCTAGGCTGGAAAAAGGAGACATTTAAGATCAGAAAATCATTCAGCACTCAGCCTGTGGAGTGTCAGACACAGCAATAATGGGAAAATACAATGAAGGTGTTTATAGTGAAAGTAACAAGGCATTTTCAACAATTACTCCTTTCCTGTCCAGAGGACAGGCCAGGAGTACAGCAGACTCTGATATGAATATTAAAAATCCTATTTCCAATCTTGAGCTTTTAAGTTAAGGTGTTCCATTATGGGGGTGGCCAGTGAACAAAGGAGGAAGAACATTAGCATGAAAAAATCAAATTCCTAGTAAGAACTGTTGAATCCCAATTTATGTAAACACCAGTTTTATGAATGACCAGTTATATGTACCATTTCCTTCCCCCCAAAAAAAAGGCCTTACCCAGTGGAACCCCGACATTATGAACTACAGTTATTACTGTTCGTTATGTACAATATCTCTTTATGCATGAAATTATGCATCTCAGTTACCTTTCTTTCTGGCTGAAAGCGCCGCAATTACTGTTATTTCGTTTGTTCCATTTTGTGAGCTTCTCAATGTATGAATTCCCAAATTAGTTCATAAAATAGAGGTTCTACTTCGATTTGGATCAAATTATTGCGCAGAATCTCTTTGTTCCCCCGCATGAGAAGCCGGTGAACGCGATAGAGCATCCCTTATCGTGACGTTCCACTTTCGTTCGCCGCATCCACGTAATCGCATCGTTAAATTTCATTACGTTCTTCCGTTTCCAGGAAAGCGAGGATATTGTGATCCAGATCGTGGAGAAGCGGATGCACATCTGCGAGGACGACGCTCGGCTCGACCTTCGAGCGAAGTTGAAGCGGATCATCACGAGCTCGCGCAACAAAATCTGATCTCTCGCGGACAAAAAATTTCATATATTTCCCAAACACAGAAAATCGTGTTTCATTCCAGGCACAGGGGGTGGAGCGGGGAAGGGAGTCTTCCCTCCGTGACTAGAAACGTGTAATTTGATGGGAAGAAACCGTTCGGCGACGAGGGAGCTCGTCGAGAAAATGAGGGAGTTCATGGTGGGTTGAGCAGGCGTGAAAGACGGAATCTTGGTCGAGGCATGTGCATGAGGGGATCGTGGCGTTTCCACGCATCATTTCGCTTTTCTCGTTTATGGGCTGACAGGATCGCGGAGGGGGAGATACGGAGTCAGTGGGGCACTCTGGCGGGGAGATAACGGGGGTTGTAACTGTCAGTATATCTTGCAGCGAAGCGGAAAAAACACGGAGTTGAATATTGAAGATGAGGGGTTGGGTGGGGGGAGGAAATGAAGGTTGGCGATGAGGAAGCGGGGTCAGGAGGTAATTGGGAGGGGGCAAAAAAAAAATGGGGGGCACAGGAAGTGAAACAATGGGGGGAGGGCGATTCCCCCGGTCGTTTTCCTCATCACAGACGGGAACAAAAAAAAAAAAGTAAATCACGCCTCTGAATCCTGGACTTCCCGGCCTTCCATCTCGGCCTGGATCTCCTCGGGGCTTCGAAGGTCGATGGCGAACTTGGCCGGCTTCGCTTTCTTGCCCTTCACGCTCTTGCTGAACTCGCGGAAGGCGGTGGCGACGGCGAACGTGAGCCTCCGCGCCGACTCGCGCGAGTCGCACACGAACGCGTGGCACCGGAACGGGTGGACCTCTTTCAGATTCCCCTCTTGGACGACGATCATGGCGAAGACCCGCGTGAAGCTCACGTCCTGGACGCCGTAGGAGATGAGGTTGATGGGCGTGAACCCGTCGAGATGATCGCGGACCAACCTAGACTTGGACTGCGCGCTCACGTGCACGCCGTCGGAGCGGACTTCCAACTGTACGAACGGCAACGAATCGCCCTGTTTGAGTTTCTTCGCGTTCGCGACCAACTCGTCGACGGGCGCCCGCGTGTGCTTGATGCCCCAGAGCCCCATGGCGTCTCGCCATCCGAGGGCCTTCACCGTGAATTTGCACGGGAGCGGCACTTCCGACGGCACGGCACTTTTCTCCTCTTCCTGCATGGCACTGGCAAGGGAGGTGGAAGTAGGAACGCTACCTGTTCGGCGGCTCGACGCGGACTGACGGGGGAGAGACGGTGATGCGAGGCCGCTTTTCTTCTCAGCCAATCCACCTGTCCGACCGCCGTGACGTCACCGAGGGCGTCTGCTATTATTCCCATCGGCTTTTCTCCTCGCGTCGCCCCGCCTTTCCTCGCCCCTTCGTCACGGTCTCGGATTACAGCAACGTTTTGTCTCGCAAACCGACCGAAACTCTCTCTCCCTTTTTCGTTTCCCCCTCGGAAACCGGGAAAACCTCGAAGTCATCGCCGAGTCCCCGAGTCATCCCACGGAGCCTGAGAACCTCGCCGACAGTATTCAGTACCGAGCAGACGCACCATATGGGCACGTGTCCCTCCCGATCTCGAACGAGCACCTGGGCCGAGGGGGGCCACCTGTCAAGTGGGTCACCTGCCGCTCCTTTGTGTTTCTTTGTGTCGCTTTTTAGAGGCGGAGCCAAACGGTTTTTGCCGAGTCGAGCAGGGATCGTTTAAACGTTTTTATCTCTACGCCGAGTGACGAGTCCCCACGACGTGACGGGAGGCTCGAGTGGGCCCGCTCCAGCGCATTTATCGAACCACGCCGGTTGCTAAGTGGCTCGTAGGGCCCGGCCCACCGATTTTTCTGCTCGCGGGATTCGAAACGATGAGCCGTCGGGTCCGTTCCGGTTACTCGGTGACTCATCCGGCACGCACGGTCCGTCGTGAGGTCCGTCGGAGCCGAGAAAACGGGGGACCCGCGAGACGAAACGACCTCGCCCCCTCCGATCGTCTCGGCCCTCGGCCGGCGACCCTCGACCCCCACGTCCTCCACCCTCTTTATCAGAATCTCGAGATCCACTCGAGAGACGAATTTCCTCCGTGGACGCGTCGAGTCCCGCCCTCGACCATGCGGTATGGACACTAAGAGTGGGATTCGTTCTAACCCAGTAAAGCCTGCGATTGCCCAGCACGAGACCGAACCGATGAGTCATTAAGAGCCTCAAAGGCGGACTCGAAGTCCTTGGCCTTCAGTGAAAAGTCACACGATGAGTCCTTTGTATCTCGGGATCATCTCCCCTCCCCCGCCCCTGCCCCCCC